GTAACTATAGTTACGTGTAGCAAAATGGCACCTATCACGCTCACTAAAGTCTGCACAACAGATTCAATAATGTTCTTTCGATATTTTGACTTGTTTGTTCTCTCTTTTTCTTCGTTATTCATTAGGAGGACCAGTGGCCAATTTTGCTACTGGTATGACAGCTCAACGGGAAATTTTCCAGTGGTCCAATCTGCTCCTGTCTAGAAGGAAAGTAATAACAGTTTGGGACAAAATAGCGCTAATTTGGTCATGCAATTTGAATACAAGTTTAATCGATTTTCAGATAAACATTGTTTCTCAACCTCAGTGTTATGTTGCAATGTAATTATTTACCAGTGGCATAGAAAGCGGGGACCCGTCCCACTTTCCAGTGTGTCCCAGTAAAAATTCATCACAATTAGGAAAATTACTCTCAAGAAAAAGAGGAGAATGCATAAAATTTAATCCAGAAGCCAGGAGCTACCAATGTTTTAAGGCGAGCCCTTGACCCCGGCCATAATGGGTGCGCTTGTGACGCACGTTCCCTCGCCTTGCTCGGCCAAATAAACTTTGGTCTCCTCTCTTTTAATTTGCCATCTATACACCTCTTTCTACGTCTCTGCTTCGAGAAGTTATAAGCTGATAACTTAAAGACGTAATAAACGCTATTTTGTTCTTTTCGAATGTATAATCCAATATGGTTTAGAGGTCAGCGGAAATCGAAACAAAGTGATAACACTTTAGCTTGGTGATATGTTGCTAGAAAAAAATAAATAATATTTTTATCCTAATAATATTGTAATCACTCAATGCGAGTCAAAAGGTGGGTACTCCTCGTTTATAGAAAATAGACAGGATTGATACCTTATCTTTTCTTTCTCGTGGTAAGAATGGAAGGACCAGGGGACGTAAATTTAAGATTTTTCATGATAGAAGTTGACTGCGAATTAACTAATTTTATTTTTCGAACAACTTTTGGTTTGAATTTCGTGCAGAGCTACACGAGGGTTATCTGCGCTAGCCGTTCCCAATTTAGCAGTGAAAGAATAGAGCTAGTTATCACCATCCACCGCCAACTTTTGGGATACTCTTTTACCAATGGATAGTGGGATTGACCGTAAAATTATAGCGCCCCCACTGCTGAAAGGGCGAGCATGTTTGGTGGGACAGGGTTTCGAACCGTGGTACCTTAGAATGCGAGTCAACCACTTGGGAAAGATTGGGAAAGTTCAAGAGGTTGTTTGATAAATACTTAAAATTGTTTGATGAAATGATAGGACAGCTCTTGTAGTCCTTTAAATGTTATATTCGGTTTATTAGCCCAATTAGCCTTTAATAGGCGACAAAAAATCAGTGCTATTTCTTAGAAGTATAGACGTATAAACACTTTTGAAATAAAACATCATAAAATATGCAGATAAAGTTTATGTTTCTTTGTCAAAAATTTAAGTTTTAATAGTATAATAGAGTAAACTATAATCAAGCAAGAGTCATCTATACTTCCCAGATAGCACTATAAGTGCTTTATATTTCATGAACTTTCAAACTGTTGAATGTGTTGGGAATATAACAGTATAAAAAACCGAAAATATAGAAAACTGCAAGGTATTATGAATAATACAATTTTATGTTATGTTGTGAAGGCCTGTTGCTGATGGTGTGTGATTATAATTAACCTTACATTTAATGAGAATATAGCGAACGAATTTAACTCCACAAGTCTATTATGATAAGTTATTATACTATTATTTTATCCAACGTGTTATTAAATGAAAGGGATATACACAGCAATTAAATAAAGCTGTAATTTGATTATAAAGCGGGTTAAATTTATATTTGCTCCCTGATAGCTCAGCAGTAAAGCTTTATGTTTGATAACAAACAAACAAAAATTATAACTGTCTGCCTATAAAGAGAAATATATCACATTGCATTGGTTTTAAAAAGTTGAATGAAAGAGCATAATGCTTTTTTTTATATTCCTAATCTCTGTTGATAAATATGAGTATTTGTTTATTTTTCCAGAATACTTTAAAATTATGATATCTAGTACAAAATATACTAAAAATTTTAAGTGACTGATACAATTACTTAGAACTTCACAAATCTTCTTGCTTGCTGTTCGTAGCGTCCACCAACCAAACAACGTCGAATTTATGCGCGTGAATTTAAGGAAAAAGTAATGACGCAACGTCGTGGTAGAAGTGCGCATCACAGTATCAAGATGGCGGGATTTCGTGATGATCAAAAGTGCACATTTCCTCTTCAGAGTATTCAAGATGTCGTTAAGTTGTTTAGAATTGAATTGGAAAGAGGAGATGAACCCAACCTCGCACTTCTATCTATCGTTGTTGGCAGTGTAGAAAATTTGCTGACATGCAACAGGTATTTGTCACCACGTAATGAAACTGAAAGTGAACAAAACGTGAAACCGAACTTTCCCATCTTGGAGCTTAGTACTGTAGAAGCGTTATATTGCAAATTCGAGAGTCAGATTAAAGGATGTGTCGATGTAACCCAATACCGTGGCAATTCATATGCCTCCCGAGAGCTTGTAAAGAAGACATCAGATATTATTTGGAGCTCATTAACCCGCAGTTATTGTAAAGACAGAGCACATTTACAAACACTTTACAGTTATTTGACAGGTGAGAAAAATTTCGGTAAGTTAGAGACTACTGCACTGAATGACTTGGCGTACCCGTAAGTTAAGCTGTAACTAACGTTAAAGCGTGTTAATGTACGCCTAACGCAAACGTTAATTAGGCTTAGCGAAACGTAGTTAGGGTCCAGACTGCCCATTTTTATTACACACGTGATCATTGAATACTATTTTACCACTCGTTATTATGGCTAGGAGTAGGAGCAATTATCATACTCACTTTTAAGTAATTTATTTTTTGTGCTACAGTTATTTAACTTAAGGTTTCAAATTATTTTACCATTCACATGATTCAGGAAGTTGCTAAAATACTGAGAAAAACCATTACTGGCATTAGTTAAAAATTTTGGATTATATTTGTAAATTGTATTTGGTTAAAAAATAAAATGTACAAAATCAACTGAAAAGTGTCAGTTTCTCACAGAGAAAGGAGTTGAATTTTGACCTTCTGGCTTGCAATGTTTTCTGGTTTTATATATTACAGGGCCCTTATTACTATTAGTAATATATGAGTTAAACAAAATCACCATGGGGTGTTGGTAATTAATGAAAAGAGGGACCGAGACACTTATTTTACAAAAAAAGTTAGTGGCATGTAATGTATTGAGAAACAGTGAAATATTTGACATATATAGGGATATTGAACTGTAGCAAACCAAAGTTCAATAATTATACTTATCTCTTGTATGCTATGGTCATGCAGTTTGTAAATCTCACTAAAGTTGGGAAGGCCCTTGCAGTTGGTCTAATAGTAATATGTAAATGTAATGGGAAACCAATAAGTTATGTTGATAACTATTTGTTGAGGATGCTGTGATTGGTAAATCAAACACTATCATGAGCCTGAGCATTGAACTTCATGGTAGTGGGAAAAAGCATCTCGTACATGCGTATAATATACTTCCTGTTTTAAACCTGTTATTTGAGTAATGTTTTGCTGATTTTAACCAGTTTTTTCCATCATAGTACACAAGTTGAAATCTTGAGATGCCAGTGAACAAGGTAAGGGTGCCTTAAAAGCAAATTTTAATGTGATAAATCAAATTTTTAGAATAATTTCAGTATAGAAATCGCATGTTTCTGTGTGTGGAATTCCCATGGAATGTTTACTACTACTACTACTACTACAAATATGGGCTGTGTAGATGTGTTTTGACATGTAAACGTGATTAGCCCAGGCCAGTATTTGTTAATTTCTGATTGTTTTTACTTTATTATAGGCTATAGTTGTTTTTTCTTATTGAACATAAGTAAATAAAAATTATATTTGGAGATAAATTTTGATAATTGTTATTAGTATTGAAAAGTAAATTTCAATAAAAATAGAAGATTTATGTAATGGTTTGTAAACTTGTCCTGCTTTAAAACAATTTAGTGGACTAATCTAACACCCTCATTTTCTTTAAGGTAAATAATTTTTAAGGTCTATTTTCAGATGGATGATAATGGCACTGACAGTGTCATGGATGAGGCAGTGCCAAGTGGGACTGCTAGTATTATATGTGAAGTAAGTAGCCTAAGTATTAAGACATTTCTCATTACTAATTAATTTTTGTGTTATATCAACCTATCTCTTTTTCACAAAATAAATATAAACATATGAGTCAAGATATTTATTTCTAAAAATTGTTAAATAAATGTACAGATTCAACAGTAATGAAAAGAAATGTCTTTCTTTTTCAGATGGATGGTAACATCACAGATGTGGTTAAAAAAAAGTCAACAGTTAGAAGACAACACTCCATATCAATATGTACCCACAAAGTTTTCAAGAGAGCCTTTTAGCATTCATGCCAATCAGGTGACAAATGATATTGTCTGTAATATAATCCAGCATATGAAAAAATCTGGTAAGATAGGGGAAAAGTCACAGGGTGCTCTTTCTTAGAAAGGCATTTAAGAATGCTTGGCTACAGTTGACCCAAGGTACAATACTACAGAGCAAAATATTTGCATCTGTCTGAAGTGTTTCAGCAGAGGTCTAGTTTCTGAAATGCAATGATTTTCAACACAAAGAAAAACTCCAAGCCTTTATAGAGGAGCCATTTGTTTTATCTGGTTTTCAGGTGCCACAGAAGCAACAAAAACTGACTTTCAAATGAAAAAAAGAAAAACAGGTATTCAAACAGAAAATTGGTAACATAATGAACTTAAAATTGATGTTTGAGAAATATAAATGAAGGAAAATCAGTCTTTAAAATGCAAGGTGTCTGAAAAACAATTTTAAAGATAGAAGAAATTAATGCCCAGAAGAGGAAGAAACAAGTTGCATTAAAACTGTTAAATTGGGATAGGTTTACAACAGTTATTGTAAATGATGTGCAAAGTACTTCCTAGTGCTTGCTAAGTTGAAATAAATTTCTGAAGAAAATGCAAAGGTCAAGTGTCTTAAGCTCAAAAGTGCCAAGAAGAAGGTGTCAATAGAAAGAATACTCACCACAGTGAAGGTTGTTAGTTGTGACAAGGATCTGGTGGAAGAAATATCTGAGAGATTAGAAGATTAATGATCTGAAACCTTGAACCTCTGAAATAGAAAACAAACTGACAATTAGCCTGAATGAGGTTGAAGTACAAACATAGGATACTGGAAGATTCTTGTTGCCTCCAATATGTAAGCATTGCAGAGGGGAAATGCAGTGATATTATTGCTTGATCATATGGGATTTTTACGGTTAAAAATTATTTGGCCCATAACAACTACATCAACTTGATATAAATTCAGAAAAGAGGTTAAAATCCTCTCTCTCTCTATGGTATAGAAAGTCAACTCATTGGCATGATAGACCTTACTCTGTAATATAATGGTACAACCAAAGCTTACCAGCATATTACACAAATTGAGATTGCAAAAGAAAATGCAATCTTTACAGTTGGAATGAGGAAGGTGCTTGGGGGCTGAGGAATACATGCAATTTATCCAAGGATCCCTTGCTAATTTGGAAAAACTGGTGATTCACAGATAGATGTGAATATTCTGTTCAACATCACAGATATAATTATAGATCAAGTTATTATCAACCCATGCATTGATATAAATCTTGTTGAAGTAAAGGGTGGTGCACTGAACAGTTACAAGTGTGGAATGCATTTTCTGAGAAAATAATTTGGCAGTATGAGAAAGTGACTAAACAGTCAAGCAATGGTAGGGTATCAAAATTGTTCAGAAATAGGAAAGAATGTGGAGCACAGCCAGTCATAGAAGCATCAGGATGTAACATGGACTTGTCATATCATCTCACATCAAGGCTTGTGCAGCCATCTGAATCTGAAAGTTCTTCAGGGAAATTGAGTTCCAAGCTCTTTTATGGTTTTTTTGGAAGCTGGTCTTGTATATAGTTCTTTATGAACAATTAGTCAATTACTATACATATCTGCTTTTGGAATTCTTTGAAAAGGTACATCTTCCCACAAATCTCAACAGTTTATGATACTATTAAGAGTGATGGGTATAGTTTAAGCTTTTGTGCCGTAGAAATAATTGGCAATTGTGTAACTGGACCGTGGATGAGGTTTATACTAACATGTGAAAACATCTTTGTTTTGAATAATCCTCTTGAAAAAACCATGATATAGTTATTAGCTTGGGCAGAAAATCCATCCTTGTTACTAGATAACAATGCAACTTTAGTGTTCAACTTTGTAGACTTTCTGAAAAGTGGTGTCTTTGCCATCTAGTAAAATCAAGAGGTGCTGAACAAGATGCTAAATGGCATAAACCGCTGGTAAACATGCTGACAACCATCATAGGTGTCGTCACCAGGCAGAAAGATGACCAGCTCCTGGGTAGCCAATTTTGGAACCCAAGTGAAGAACTGAAAAAGAAAGAGTAGATCATATGCTTCTGACAATATTGGTGGTGAGAGGCATTTCAGCTGGGCATGTGCATACAAGAAACATACTTTTAGTGCTTTAGTATTGATTCACACAAACAAGATTGTTCAGTGGTTCTTGGGATTTCCAGAATGTGAGAAGAAACATTGCTAGTACTATATCTGAAACCAAAAAGAAACAGAAGATAGAGAAAGAGAGAGAGTTAAAGCTTCATTAGTGTTATACTAAGGAAATCGAAGGAATGCACTTGAAACTGGCTGAAATTGAAGAAAAACCGTTACTGAATGGAATTATTATTGAAGACACTTTTAGGTTCTGGGAATCTCAAGAAAAAGTGAAAGCTGAACTTGCAAAATTAAAAACCAAAACTGGCAAAATGAATGCCCTGAAATGTCCAATTCAGGTTTATTACAAATGCCTAAGAGAAAAATTCCAGTAACCTTTACAGGATTACAACTCATATACTTACAGAATATCTTCTGTCCATTGTTGATCAGTCATAAATGACAAGCTGAAATCAGTGTTGTGTAACTATTCAATCATAGTTGGAAGTGAGTTTAGTCAAAAATGGGATAACACCTATTGGCAAGAAAAGTTTGCAGAACTCATAGAACAAACAATGAGCTTGTTATGAAATTGTGCTACTGTGGAGATCTGAAAATATTGTTGACATTCTTCCTTGAGATTTGATTGTTATATCCTAATAAAATTATGTATTAACTCTGTGTGTGTGTGTACATTTTGCATGTAACTTAAATTTTATTCTTAGACTTAGACATTGAATGTATTTACTATAGATGTAAGTGCTTAAATATTTAATGGAAAATTTTACATGTGTTATGATTTACATAAATTACAGTCTGTAGAAGAATGTTATCTACAAACTACAAATAGTGTTTCAACAATCAAACTACTTCAGCAACTTCATTTTTTATTGAAATTTTGATGATATAAATGTATTTACAATGTATGTCATAATCAAAAGTAAGAAAGAAAAATCTCAGTAGGATTACAGTACTAGTAATCTTATATATGTTGTAAAGTGTGGTGTCTGTCTGAGCATTCGTTTGTCTCCCGTTTGAAAAGCTGCACATGCAAAAAAAGCTCAACATTCACTTTTGAAATGACGAGAGAACAGGCATGAATAATGTTGATGCCAAATTTTATTTT